TTCATTGATGGCTGAAAGGTCTGGGAGCAAATTTTTTTTCTCCATACACAGAAATTGTGGCTCGTGCTGGAAGGTTTACTTTTTTGTTACATGAAGGGACAGTTAGGCCTTATCTGATACATTGTTGGAACTTAGGGATTTTGCCTACCACCACCAGGTGGAGGCATTTTTCCAAATCAAATAATTTCTGGTCCTCAAATGGCAGAGTTTGTAGTTCACTTATATAGGTCTTTGTCCCCTGATTGGACAGAGTAAGTCTATGGACTTGCAATTCATCTTCAACATTTTCTTTCCTTTTACTTCTCTTTGTTGGAAGACTCTCAGGATTACCAGTTTCATTGAGGGTGAGCTGGATCCATTGTTCCGATGGTTCGATTTTCGGCTTCTACATTCATCCAGGTTGTTGTTGGAGTCTCAAATTTCATTGGCTCCTATGGGGGGGAGGGGCATAGTTCCACCCCAGTTCATTAGTACCGATCCATGACATCAGCTCCTCAGTGCTTTGGTACTCAAAGTAGATTCTGTTTATATCCAGGGTTTTCACTGCCTAGTCAGATTGCCAGCATCATCAGTGATTATTGTATACTTTCATATGACATGGGGCTCAGTTCCAAGATTTTCTGGGTGTGTAGTAATCTTACCCATTAGTCCAGAAGCTCTGCAGATCTTTGGGTCACAATTAGTTGTTCAGCTTACATTTTTCCCCATTATTATCCACCCAACCTGTAGGGATATCTGGGTCTAGTTGGTCTGGGGGTAGTGAGAGAGTTGGACGAGCTCTTCAGAGTTTTTATTCCAGTTAGTTGTTGGGGCTATGAAGACTGGTTACTGCTGGCAACATCTTGTCAATTGTGAGACCATCACATCCTGCTTTTACTTTTAGGTACAACCCAGGCAGGCTTCTCTTTTGGGACTGAGACATCTATTCTTGCTCCATTTCAATATGTCATCAATCTGGGTATTTTTTATTTTACATCTCGTCTTTCAGTCGGATCCTGCTCAATACTTTAAAATAGGATCCCACATTCTTACTCACCTCTCCTTCTCCCACTGCACAGATGGTTCTTTATCTTCTGGGAATGTGGACATCACTCAAATCCTTCGTGCCTTTGGGACAAGAACACAAGCGATCCTTTTATTGGTCTTTAAGTGACCGGGGATTGTACACATCTATTTCAAAGCTTGCATCAGACATTCTTCCTCTTTTTGCCCTCAGCATGTCTTTTTTAACTGAGAAAACACTTTCAACTGTGGTACTTGATGGAATAGATGTACTTAATAAAATGAAAACTGACTTTAAGACTGCATCTGGAAATGCGTCATTGTGAACAGTCTTTATAAGAGATTTATATAGAAAAAGCATCAACTACTTGAGCACTTTTGTGTTCAGTACCTTTTGCCACCTTTGTTTGCAGGCATCTGAAATAATTGTCTTCATCTTCTGTTTCTCTCATGCTATCTTGATTAGGCAATTCTGTACCGTATTGTGCTGTGTCTTTTTCTATCTTTGCAATCATTTTTTGTTGATCTTGTTCCTTCTGATTTTCTGGAAGCCAGGAAAGCTAGGATGAAAACATGCCGAAAGAATTGAATCATCATCAATGAATTCATTGCCAAACCTAGTTTATAATCTTTGAATTAATAGTTCAACTTTGTAACCATGGTATTGTTCAAATTGCTCAATTTAGCTAGACAAATATGCAAGTAGGAATCAGTACTCCCATAAATGCTTTATTCTCACACTGAAGGATGTCAAGTGCTCTAGCAATAGGTCTCATGACTTTAATTTATTCTGAAATAAAAAAAAATTCAGCTGGATTAAACCACACAGTGCTCAGTTGATCAAAAATGTGGTTAGTGCTTTATCACTTGACTCACTTAGGGCACCAAACATTAATTCCAACAAGCTGAACAAGGCACAACCTAGCATCTCCTTATTTCTTTCTCAGTTGTGTTGGCAGCTACAGTGCTTCTGCTGTTGCTGATCGAGACACTTTTTTATACTAGTATTATTTAAAGCTTTATCTTCATCAATAGTAGCAACAAGATTCAATGTATGAGAGACACACCTTTGATGGTCTGAAAAAATGCATACACATGAACAAGATGATACCTCATCATCAACAGTTAATATATTAGCTAGAGAATGAATTTCTACAGCCTCTTCATCTGAGTCATAATCATTGTTATCTTCATCTATGACTGCATCTTCACCACTAACAGTAACATCACCATGCAGTTGGTCAGTGTACGTGTCATTAATCTATTATTTAAACTTATAACATAAGTGCAAAAAACAATTTTGACATTTAATAACATGGCCAATAATCCAATCATGAAGGGCAATGTTAAGATCTGATGTCCAACCAAGTGAACTATAACAACCAACCAAGAAATGTATCCAAATTGGATGCATTTGTATGTTGTATATATAATTAATCTTTCCACAATGACAAATTGTTTGTTTAATATTTTATTCTGGCTAACACCAGATGATTTTATTATGATTGAGAAAAGACTCCCAGGAAGGGAGGATAATTATATGAATGTGGGCTATAATTTATATCTGTAATATAGGTAACTAGCTGAGTTACTCGGCATTGCACTGTGAAAATTTAGATTTGAAAATATAGATCAGTATTTTTTCAGCAAATTATTCAGTAAGTAGACAAAAGCTGTGATGCGAGAAATAAAAAAGCATTTAATCAAACAACGCTTTATTTGAAATTAGATCGTGTTTCAGCTTGTCTTGTTCTTTGAGCCTGAAGTTGTACATCATGTTGCTCCTCTGTTTCTTGCTTTCTGTAAGTTATTTGTCTTAATTTTTGCGCTTGAAGTCTGGTTTGACTTTGTTCAGAAGTTTCTTGTTGTCTATATCCAGCTTGCCTTGATGCTTCTGACTGAACTCTGGTTTTTTGCTGTTTAACAGTTTCTTGCTGTTTTTGAGCAGCCTGTTTTGCAGCTTGTGCTTGAAGTCTTTGATTGCATTCTTCTTTTGTTTCAGCTGCTCTTTGTGCTTGCATTCTTTTAGCAGCAGTAGACTTTCCATATAAAGGGCATTTCTTGAGTGGCATAATCACCTGTATCACTAAACAATAATTTGCTATTCACAAAGTTACTAAATCAATTATGAAACCACTTAGCACTATTTAAAGAAAACTGTTTTTGGAAATACTGAATTGACAGTAAGGTGATCTGAGTGTCTCCCGCCATAACGCTTTCTATGTGCCAAATGTGCTTATGTTTGTATGTTTATTACAAAAAAAATGGCACAATAATCATTAATTGTCAATTTCGTCATTAAATACTACACCAAATACAAAACAATTAGCACCATTAAATTTCTTCTAAAAAACTGGTTATTATGAAGTTAATTTAAAATTTGTAAGTTCAACCATTTGGTTTCCTATAGCTAACAAAATAAACAAATAAACAAACTTCCTCTTTTATATATATATATATATATA